GAAATTATTCCGAATTTAGGGGGGGGGGGGGTACATTGAGCATTTTTCATGATTTAGGGGGGTCTCCAAGGCAGGAAAAGCCTGAGAAAAGCCTGCGAAAGGGGGTTTCGGAAATGTTGGCAGTCCTCAGATAGGGGGTGCTTTCAAAAAGAGGGAACGAGCATATGCGTACCCTAAATAACACTGAATGGGGGGGGGGGGGGGAGGTGGGGGCGGGCCTGTTGTCTAATAGGCCACTTCGTGAAAACGGAAAAGGCGAGACCTCTCACACAAGAACCGGCCGCGCACCCATTTAGACCGCTTAGTGAAATCGACGTGTATATTGAATGCGCATATTTTCGTTTTCACGAACCGTTCCTACAGTTTGTTAAAATATTCCCACTTAATTATATATTTTTTGTAAACAAATATATATGAGCAGAATCGTTAAATCTGTACCTTGTGGTTGTCAAAGGAAATATTTGAAGATGTACGTTAACCCCCGTTGTAATAAAATGAAATGTTAAAATGCGTTTATCTCGAAATTCACTTTAATTTGTCGCTGCGCGGGCTACGAGGCCACTTCGTAAAACGGTGACGAGTATGTACAGCTCCAGCAATTAAACAAAACTGCCAAGGGTAATGATAGACTCTGTCTCTAGTCGTTTGCACAGTATATTTGACTGAAGTGGCTAAACAGTTGTGTAAAAAAATAATGCGCAGCCGGGCCTCCTAGTTTAATGATCACGCACGCCATCATCGGCTGATAGCGAGTAAGTAAGGAGAGGTAGCGTTGGTGTGGTGGAGATCAAAATTAAATAGGCCAGATTCTGGACTAGGCCGAGCTCTGCACGCGGTTTGGCTGTATATATGATTATTTGTCACCATTTCTCCCCCCCCCCCTCCTTTTCCTCATCTATTTCCTTCTTTATCCCCTTTCTCCCTCTACCCCATTCTATCTTTCATCTATAATCACCCATCTCCCCCCTCTCTCTCTCTCTCTCTCTCTCTATCTATCCCTCTATCTTTCTTTCTTTATCCCTCTCTCCCTCTCTCTCTCTTTCCCTTTCCCCTCTTTTCATTTATATATTTTGTTTCTCTCTATATATCTCTCTCTCTCTTTTCTCTCTCTCTCTCTCTCTCTGACTCTCTCTCTATCTTTTGCTTCATCCCCCTCTCTCTCTCTCTCTCTCTCTCACACACACACACACACACTCTCCCGTTTCTCACTTCTTTTCCTTTTTCAAATGTCGATTTCCCTTCTAAGAAGATTGTAACAAACCCATAACTTTGATGTCAAACTGATTAATGTCTTTTCAAATACCCCCCAAATGAGATGACGATGCATACGTGTGAAAAATATGAAAATGTGTTTATGCGATCTTTGTGTTTGAATTTTTTTTTGTGTGTGTGTGTGCGTGTGTGTGGGTGTGTGTCTGATGGGTTGGGAGGGTGGCGCGTCCACCTACATCTACAGTGCTGGTTATGAATGAGGCGTCATTACATATTGATCCGCCATGTTCTTTTTCTTTTGCACAAATCTGAATCCAGGTATATTTCAGGCCCCCAGAAATACAAAAAAGTGGCAAGAGCATTTATTACTAAATTGTTGCAATACGCTGTACAGTAATGTAGTCCGACTTTAGAAGTCGAATATGGATATGAATGCAAAGTCCAATTTATAGAATGCTTTCATGTGATCACGCTTTATTGCTCCTCAGTGTCAAAATAGAATTCGTTTGCCCTCTTGAACTCTCTAATTCTTATTCAGATGCGCTGGTGTAACGTATCAGACACTGCGGAGTCTGGATGCGTCACATTCCTTTTCCTTTTGTAATGGTTTCGGCTTTAGGCCTCTGGTAGGTGAAGTGTTTTAGCACAGGTAAAGTAAGGTTTAAATTCTTTTCATTCTACCCTTTGTTTTCTTTTTTTTCCATTAGGAATATAGATAGGCAAGTTTAATGATAGCGATCATGTGATTGGTTTTGGGAGAATGCGAGTGGCCAATGTTGTTATTGGAGGCGAGGCTTGACAGTAAGGATTGAATTTAGTATTGAAAGTGGGAGACGTCATTTTTTTCGTGATTAGGGACTTAGATTTGCACGTCGACAGCTTTGACTGCAACGCGTGACGTAATTTCAAAGCACTGCGCATGCTTTACGTCGTCTCAGTCGGCGATCGAGAATGCGTCGACCTTGATTTTCCTAAATCTATTACGGTACTAGTATGCCGCGTGCGCATGCGTGTATGCTTACTTCCTGCATGCATGTATATCGTCGAGTGAAATCTAAAAGATTTCTAATCGTAGTCAACATGGGCAGTTGAGTATGTTGACACGCCTGATCAGTTGGCGTTCGTCGTGTTCTCGCCCACTCAATCTGAAAGTCCCTATTGAAGAAAAACCTGCTGTGTCGCCTTTGGGAAGGGAGTTCCTACAACATTGGAGTGCGGAAAGATTTTGGGCTTGCTGTTTGAGAGCGAGTGTTTACCCCCTTTTTATTGCTGCTTTTTGTTTCTGCTATTGAGAGCGGAACGAGCAGACGACCGTCCTTTGGACACGATCCGGGAGGCAGGCAATGGGTTCTTCAATCTGCATAATAAATGTAAGTCTTAAATTTAAGCTCGCCCTCATTTTCTTTACAATTATGACCCTGTTTTATGCCCTATAATGTAAATGGACGCCTTGAGTAATGTATATATTTGTTGCGTATAAATATTTTTTGTTAAAGTAATTCAATTGGGATTTGTGTCATGTGACAAGACACAAATATTATAAACGTCCTTTTTTGACAAACACTGAAATGTCATGCTGGAAGTCAGACATTTTGAAAGTCAGCCATATTGAATGTCAGCCATTTTGGATATTATAAATGGCAGGTAGCTTTTATAAATTTTGATGCAAACAGAAGGAATTAACTGTTTCTTTTTGTAAACATATTTTCTAAAGTCAGAAATCATTTAAAATGTTATTAGCATTCTTTACTAAGGCGGGACATGAAATACTCGAAAGATTTTTTTTCTGTTTTAAGATGTGTTAAAGCTGATTTCAAGTATTCTTATTTAATGATGTTCAACCCTATTTTAACTGTGCTATTTGTGCATGCATGTCAAGTGAAGTGTATAGAATACCATGGAAATATCATTTTTTTTGAAAAATTCACTCATTTGCATATAATAATAATATTAATATTAATAATAATAATAGCCTAATAGTCCACTCCAAATTCTATTAAACCGAAACGGAAATTCTTTTTGCCCAATTGATCGTGAGCCCGGCAGCCACTGAGCAGCGCCAGATCGACGTTGCTCTATCCCTTATTGTTTAACGCCAAACAAGGTAGCAACAGCTCCCATCTTTTAACGTCTTTTGGTATGACGCGGCCGGGGTTCGAACCCACGACCTCCCGGTTGTGAGGCGGACGCTCTACTGACTAAGCCAACACTCCGGTATATTTATTGTAATTTATGCAAATAAGGTCATAACAATCACATTTTTACCCATAAATCATATATTATTCATATTCAAGCATTCTTCTTCACTACATATATTCGTTAAACCATTTGGAATAATAATACAACAAAAATTGGAAGAGCAAGGTTATTCCTTATGTTATATGTTGTTTTGATAATTTCTTATGTATTTCATTGTTTTTTTAAACTTATATATTGTATTATTCTGGTTACTATATTTCATTTCTAACTACAATTCAACTATTTTGACCCCAAAACAAACACCTAAACTTTAAACTAGACCAAATAACCAATTTTGTATCTCTTTTTTTAGGAAAAATGATATTTCCTTATGTTTTGTACACAAATCACAAAAATGAGCGATTTTTTTGGCTGACATGCAAAGACAAAAGGTCACGTGACTTTGTAACTATACTTCACATTTTTTAAAAGAAAATTGTTTCAAAAGATGCGTAAGACTCGGAAGAAAAAGGTCATGAAAGGAAAACTTTGTATGCCGCGGTTCAGGAGCAGTCGCTAAATTACTACAGGGGGGGGGGGGTTCAAATTGACCCCTACCCCGGTTAAAATAGGGTTAAGTCAACAACGTGTGTTAATATTGGGAAAAAGTACTTACATGTAGAGGTGTCGTGGATACGTCGACGGACTGTCGATCTTAAGGTCCGCGGTTCGAGTCCCGCCGAGGCACTAATGTCATTTGGCAAGACATTGATCTACATTTTCCACACTCAACCCAGGTGATGTAAATGGGAACCTGGCAGGAATTAATTCCTTGAAATGCTAGAGCGCCGCAATGGCTGCCTTGCTAAAGCCGGGGTATTAATCTGGGCAGCGCCAGGAGCGTCACAACGTGACGGACATGTGCGCTATATAAGAAGCTATCATTATTATTATTACATTCTAAGAACATTTTGTTAATGTTTTTTGTATCAAACTGATATGATAGGATACCATGTTTATTATTGCTTATTATTTAATTACAGCCGTTTAGGTTGTTTTTTCAACCACACTCCGATGACCCATTGTCTACGAGAGACTGATTTCTACTCTCCGCTGGTCACCTCATCACGAGCCATCGATCCATTCGATCCCGATCTCGTTCTGCAAAGATCGTCTATTAACGCAGTGGACATTTTTACGAACTCCAACGTTCGTATCGCATTACCCCTTTATTAAACGAACAATGGTCTAGTATATGGCAGTGTTAATTTAATTCGACCCTCTTAGTAGACTACGATTTGATTCAGTTTCGATTTGGCAACGTTCAATACATGTAAACTTATGTATTATTTCGTTTATTGTTTAATTAAAATTCAACCTACCAAACTGCAACTCATATTCTGATTGATTATTGTTATATGTGTGAATCGCCACTCAGTAAGCCAACTACATTCCTTGTGACACTCAAAATAGTCCAAAGATCATCTATACTAAACGGACGTGCTAATTTACATAGTGATTCAATGTGACAGGACTATACATAACTTTGTGTTTGGAGAGCACAGTAATACCATAATGAAAACAACGTGGTGGTGTGAATTACGTTTAACATGGCGCTGTTTTCAGCAGCAGCAAAAGGAGACGTCCAAAGTATACAGTCATTAATTGAATCGGAAGACGGGTCAGAGGATTCGGGATACTACTCGGATGCGTCTGGTAAGACGGCCCTTCACATTGCTTCGGAAAACGGACATTTGCAAACGGTTAAATTCCTTATCCATCATGGAGCAAAAGTGAATGTGGGCGATTATAAACGACAGACAGCAGTTCACTTATGCTCAAAGAAAGGCCATCTTCATGTGGTAGAGCTGTTAGTGAATGAAGGAGCAAGCATTGAAATTGGTGACAAAAATGGATTTACAGCTCTTCACATAGCATCATTCGAGGGTCATTTTGATATAGTCAAATACCTTGTTAGTAAAGGGGCAGAGCTGGACAGACTTGCTAGTGATTACTGGACACCTCTACACCTTGCTTTAAACGGTGGCCATATTGACATTGCAGAGTACCTTTTGACAGAAGGAGCCAACATTAACGCGTGTGGTAAAAGTGGATGTACAGCTCTACATACTGCATCAAAAACTGGAAATATTGATGGAGTGAAATTACTAACCAGGCAAGGAGCAGAGCTGGATATGACCACTGACTATGGCTGGACCGCACTAAGTTTTGCTACATCAGGGGGGCACCTTGACATTGTCAAATTTCTCATTAACGAAGGGGTAGAGGTTGACAAAGCACTCGGGAGCGGGATGACACCCTTGTGTCTTGCAACAAAAAGAGGCCATCTGGGTATTGTCGAGGTCTTACTGAACGTAGGAGCACATATTGATAACTGTAATCGAGACGGGTCATCAGCACTCCACATTGCATCGTACAACGGACACATTGAGATAGTTCATCATCTCATTAGCGAAGGGTCACATCTTGACAAATGTGACAAAACCGGAAAGACACCCTTGGCTTGTGCTTCTCAAAAAGGCCATCTTGAAGTCGTCGAGTATATCGTGAACAAAGGAGCAGGCATTGAAATTAGTGATAAGGATGGGTTTACAGCTCTTCAAGTAGCATCACGCGAGGGTCATCTTGATATTGTCAAATGCCTTGTTAGGAATGGAGCAGACCTGGAAAGACTTACTAATGATTACTGGACACCTCTGAATCTTGCTTTAGACGGGGGCCATCTTGACATTGCAGAGTACCTTTTGAAAGAAGGAGCCAATATTAACACGTGTGGTAAAGGTGGATGTACAGCACTACATACTGCGTCACAAACTGGTAATATTGATGGAGTAAAATTTCTAACCAGGCAAGGAGCAGAGCTGGATAGGACCACTGACGATGGTTGGACCGCACTTAGTTTGGCTTCATTTGGGGGACACATTGACATTGTCAAAGTTTTCGTGAACAGAGGGGTAGAGATTGACAAAGCACTCAGGAACGGCAAGACACCCTTGTGTCTTGCAACAGAAAGAGGCCATCTGAGTATTGTCGAGATCTTACTGAACGTAGGAGCAAATATTGATAAATGCAATCGAGACGGGGTTACAGCTCTTCACAAAGCGTCATTCAAGGGTCATGTTGAAATTGTCAAATATCTTGTTAAGAAAGGGGCACAGTTAAACAAATGTGACAAAAACAACAGGACACCCTTGTCTCGTGCTTGTCAAGAAGGCCATCTTGAAGTGGTCGAGTATTTCATGAACGAAGGAGCAGGCATTGAAGTTGGTAAAGATGGGTTTACAGCTCTTCACATAGCATCATTGGAGGGTCATCTTGATATTGTCAAATATCTTGTTGAGAAAGGGGCACAGCTTGACAAATGTGACAAAACCGACAGGACACCCTTGTCGTATGCTTCTCAAAAAGGCCATCTTGAGGTCGTTGAGTATATCGTGAACAGAGGAGCAGGATTTGAAATCAGTGATAAACATGGGTATACAGCTCTTCACATAGCAGCATTCGAGGGTCATCTTGATGTTGTCAAATACCTTGTTAGTAAAGGGGCGGACCTTGGGAGACTTGCTGATGATTACTGGACACCTTCACGTCTTGCTTTTCATGGCGGCCATCTCAGTATACATGCCTTTCTGTTAAAGATCGTTAAGCCATTCATTGGGTTTAAAGAGGACAACTATGACTACCTTCCTTTTGGGGGTGAAGCTTATCCTGGCTATATGCCCCCATACTCCCGAACATACGATCCATATCTTACCAGTCAACGAGACAGCTCTCGCTCCTCGAGGAAGAGCATCACAGAAGAGACAATGATTATAAGTCTCGACGAGTACAGAATCAAGGTTCCACTTTCACCAGACGATCTGAACATAGCCAAAAATATCAGAGCAGAAGCATTGACGAGCATTCCACCTGACTTAAACCTGGGAAAAGACGAAGTTATCATCTCAGTTGGGCTTAAGCTTTCCCCTCCTGGTCTTCAGTTTAAAACTCCGGTGGAAGTCACGGTCTCGCATAGCGCTATTTTCAGCAACCCAGACAAGGCGGAAATCGTGCTATACACCCGAAGGACTGGTAAGATCTTCCTTTTCTTTAATGTATATATTCAACACTTTCAGAAAATATTTGACAAGTTTTATTTGACAACAAATTTTATTCGACACATTTTATTTGAAAAAATGTAATCGCCAACATTTTATTTGACACCTTTTGTTTTTTTCTACAAAAATATTATTCCAAGAAATAATTTTACTTTTTATTCGACAATAAAGGTATTCAACCAAAAAGATGTATTCAACAAAGAATCTATTCGGCGTTCCATACATATGCATACCACGAAAAAGTTATTCGTCTAAAAAAAAAGCCGTTTGACTCACCAAGAATACTTGCGATACTTTACACAACCACCTGCACCGTGCGCGCAACAGGCGTGTTTACGGACGAAGATGGCCTCTGGTCGGACTACGCCGGGCCGCGAATTTGCGATTCCCAAACCATTCAGCTATGGGAAACATTCTGAGCAACGTGATTGGTTAAAAAGGTTATAAAGACACACCCACATCGACGCGAGCCATCCATAGAGATATCTCTATGGAGCCATCTCATCATGGCGGTGCGAATGTGTCTGGGGCCAAGTCCGAGTGAACCATCAAATCTTCAAAATGATTTTCCAAATCTGCATGTAGGTCTAAGTAGATATTTAGACCCTATATATAATTATTTTATTATAAAGTCGCCATGATCAGATCCGTGTATATGACTTTTGGAATGATGTTTGCATGAATGGGCTGCACATAAACAATGGATAACAGTGGGCCTGTATGTGCCTGTAGCTTGCTCGCGTGTGAAGCATTGTACCTAACAACATAGCGTATGTGCAGTCCTGAGTGTTTTGTTGAGCCTAGTCATGCATTGTTTGAACAATGACAATAACACAAGTTACATGTAGATTTAGATGATAGATCTTTTAAGTTAGATACAAGTATGTTCTAATGAAATATAGATATCGATTGGATGATTTTTTTAATTTTACAGTAGGCCATTTCATGTAGATAGACTTCCCTCAGACATGATATCTTTCGTAAAGTGTCAAATTAGAGTCTGTGCTTGCAGACTAACATTGTGAGTGTTTGTGTGTCTGTGTCAGCTGTGAGCGAGCCCGAGCGTGCAGTAAATGACGTAATATTTATTTCTTCTCTCGACCAATCACGTTGCTCATAAAGTCTCCCATAGCTGAATGGTTTGGGAATCGCAAATTCGCCGCCGGGCAAGCACAAACCCTGGTCATTCGTAAAAGAGAGTCTGCACTATAAGACTACCATATACCATGTACTATAGCTGCTCCTGACACAACCAGTAGGTAGCTGGGCTAGGCTTCTCTCAAGGCACAATAATTTTGTTTTGAAGTGTCAAATTAGGGTCTGTGCTTGTAGACTAGGGCCGCCCCGGCATGTAGGTAGTCTAGGCATGCAGCGCAACTAGATAGCTAGATGGCTCAGGCAGGTCACCAATTTATCCTATACTTTAGTGTGTTTTATTATTTTGGGTTCCTAACTTCAGTCAACTTCAGTATTGAATATACAGACCTACTTTTGTGGGGGGGGGGGGTTGTGCACATACTGCCCTCCTATTAAAACGGATGAATATTTTTAATGTTAATTCTAGATCTATATATGATGCAGCTCAGTCAATTCATGTTCCAGTACAAACATTACAACTTGCCACCTGTCTTAATTTGATGAACTTTTTATACTGAACTCTTCTATGCTACAAGAAATGTAAGTTGTTTTCATATATACCCTTAAAGGCCCACTGCACTACTTGTAGCTACTTGCGCCCTCTATATAACAATGCCTAATCGGTGACCATTGGTCCCCCATGATCCTCTTTTTCTTATGTTAACTGAGAGCTGAGTTGATGAGATAACCACCTGTCCAGTGACCTTGCAGGGTAGTCTAATCCCTCCTGTAAACTACGGCAGATAAGCTTTAATAGTTAAGACTTTCTTACAAAAACGGACACCCTTCAATTGGGTTACATGTATTGGAGTCATGTTCCACCTGCAATCTAAGATAAGGTTATTCCTGATAAGTAATCCATCATTTACAACATGCACGGATGCTCCCCCCCCCCCCCTCTATGATATTTTCTCCCTCTTCTTTCTCAATATTGGAAGGGCCTACCACCTCATCACTTGACCTTATATTTACTTTTGATAATATAATTTTGTATTATTATTGGGGGGGGGGGAGGATATAGTCCTCGACTACCCCTTCTACATTTGCTAATATATTGCACCATATGGAGTCGTTTGTATGTATGTATGTAGTTGATTTAGTATGTTTGGCCTTTATGGAGAAATTAATTGAATTGAATTTAATTGAATTGAATTGAATTGAAGTTCAATAGCCTGCTTTCAAAAGAGTATGTATATGAATTAGTATATTACCTACTACGTTTTAAGGTTTTTTTGTAATTATTAACAGTGGGCAGGATTTGTTTAAGATGATGAGAAGAGGGAGGGCATAGTGATGTAGATTGGAATTGAATAGTTATGGGATAGTGGTGGTGGGAAGGGGGGGGGGGGCGTTTTTGGAATATAACGGAGTGTGCATTACCTACTTCGTTTCCACCTCCCCCCCCCCCCCCCCCCAAATCCACTAGCTCTTTATCACTGCGGCTACATCAGTATACCCAAACCCTCATTTTTATCACCTTAAAACAGTAGGTAATAAACACTAATTTGTGCCCCCTTAACGCCCCCAACTAGCCTCTAACAAGAGGTCAGTGGCCCCTGCCCATCCAGGCTACATGACTTTGCCCTCCCTCTTCTCATCTTTCATCACCCTCAAACAATCCTGCCCACTGTTCATTGACTAGAGGCTATAGGCCGCGACGTGGATCTAGTCTTCGTACCGTAAACGCGCCTGTTGCGCGCACATGTACTACTGCACGATGCAGGTTGTTGTGTTAAGTATCGCATGTATTATTGGTGAGTCGAATAGCCTTTTTGAGACGAAAAACTTTTTCGTGGCATGCATATGTATGGAACGCCGAATAGCTTCTTTGTTGAATGTAGCTTCTTTGTTGAATACATCTTTTTGGTTGAATACCTTTATTGTAGAATAAACATTAAAATAATTTCTTGGCATAATATTTTTGTAGAACAAAACAAAATGATTCAAATGAAATGTTGGCGATTACATTTTTGTCGAATGAAATCTATGTCGAATAAAATTCTTGTCAAATAAAATTTGTTGTCAAATAAAATTTGTTGTCAAATATTTTCTGAAAGTCTTAAATATATACATTTGAGTGAAATATACTTTTTTGAAAGTGTCACATATATTTATTTGTTTCCCTAAAGGCGTGCCATAGGTATGGGTACCCAGCAGATTTCCATCATCATGCAATATACTATTGCGTGCATTGCATCGCGTCAGAATTTTGAACGCATCGAGATATGCGTAGATCAAGAATGCTGCACAGAGCTTGCATATTGCTGCACACGACTTGCATAGCTGCTGCACAAAAATAGCACAGCTGAACGTGATGGAAAATAATTAAAGCATGAACACTCGACTCCAATACAGGTTTGCCATTGGCTACTTTCTTAGATCCATCTTATATTAAAGATTATTACAAAAATTCCCTTGAGTTCATTTTTCGAAGGCCTTTGTGATCGTGCTCGATAAGAAAATATACATTTTGACAGTAACAGTTTCAAATCTGAATAACTGACAAACATCACAAGGGTAAACACAAATAACTCAATTCTGCATAATACTGCATCGTCAATATCGAACCTGCAGTCATACAGCTTTGTCATTACAGATCACGACATTTTTTGCCTACATCATCATCGGAAATTTTCCGGATCATCATGATCATCATAAACATCCTCACCTCACGAATCTTTCACAAAATGAGAGGGAAAGAAACCCTCGGCAGTATCAATAAACTTTATTTTTAACCTTTATTAACTTATCAAAATGACTGAATAGTTATCTTTTGAAATGCAACTTAAGATGAAATCAACAAAATAAATGTAACAAATGAACGTGGGAGTTAAATATTAACATGTTAAAGCACTGGCAAATATTGAGTTTTTAACATTGTTTGCTTTGTGAGAATATTTTGTATTATTATCCTGCATCAACAATTTGTTGGCTTTTGATTGGTTGAGAGCTCGTCACATGACCAGAAATATTTGAGCTATTTTTAGAAAGTACTATTTTGGTTTACTATTTGGGAGTTGAAAAAAAAATGTGAATTTTTTTTTGGAATTGAATCAATTTTTTTTCTTCAAATCTTAATTTAATGAAAACAAAATATTTTAAATCTTTTTAGATAAAAATTGACATTTTTGCGGTTCTAAATTTTTTTTCTCCCAAAAATATATTTTTTTTAATATTTTTTTTAAATACATTTTTGATGCAGGATATAAACAAATATCCCATGCCTTCTATTCGAGGTACTGGTTAAACTATGGGCCTCGGTGACTCCAAAAGTACCATTTGCTTCGGGGCTGCGCCCCTCAGCAAATAGTAATTGTAGTCACCTCTTGCGCATAGTTTTAACCAGAACATCTCAAGGCAGTGTATATTTGTATATTATTATTGTTTTGTTATAACTACTACTACTCCTACTACTACTTATACATTATATATTTTTTTTTTAAATCTAATTCAGCATCCCTAAGAAATGTTGTCAATACTTAAATTAAGATTATTCAAGCTATTACAAAGAACAACCAAAATAATAAATAACGTTTTCATTATACATGGGAGAAGCTGCACGATAAAACAAAAAAGAAAGAAGGAAGAAAATGAAATAAAAACTAGCTGCACTTGTTTTAGAACAGCATAGTCTTAAACATTTAATGTAAATAAATAAAGACTTTAGTGTTATAACAATATATTTTTCAGAATAAGTGTTTTCCCCGCTAAATATGTCAATCAGAGGCAGGGGGCTGGATAGGATTAGGAAGCCCAGGAGAGAGATGTTCTTCTTTTTATGTAGACTAGATCCAAAACTAAGTTGTAGCTGGATCACAATGCAATCTCTGTAACAGGTCCATATATCTTCCAGTGATTATTGGCAATAATCAAGCTCCGAACTGAACTTTCAAAGTGCGAGAAGTTTCGCAATGCAATGATCTTTGTTAAACTTCTCATTGTTATTGTAAATGTTCCTGTCGACTGATTAAATAACAGTTTATTCAATCAGTTAATGTTCTTTGGTCAGACAACAGAAACAGAAATGGGATAGGGGGAAATATATTTTGACAGTGCAGAGATCCCCTGACTGCCACGACAAACCCTTGACAATTTTGACAGAGATCTTCACACAAAATTATTCTTTTCTTACTTGTCTTGGTATCATATGGTCCCGCTTCTAAGTTGATCTTCATCTTAGAATGCTCTACTTCATTGAGTTTTACTTGGTAAACTTCTATTAGAACAGAAATTCACTTAAAAGAAAATGTTTAAGTCTTTGTGTTTGAATAACTTATAAGTCGCAAAGTTCAAACAGCCGCCATTTATCTAGATTCTTGTGGAAAGATCGTTGGGAATTGTAGGAATAACAAATATTATATGCATGATCTAATACATAAAACAGTTTGTTAATACCCAATCACTAAA